TTGTTACTGCTGGTGTTGGCCTCGCCTCGGTTGAGCTATTTGGCAATGCCATAAACAATAACAAAAACTGGCCTTTTCGCCTGTCCAAAAGTATTCAATAAAAAATCAATATACCTGGGATAGCCAGAAGAAACTCTGCGATGCCCATGGCCTACGTCGACGTGCGTTGCTGTAGCTGCCTTCGTCAATATCGAGGCTACACCGCACCAAAACCTACCTCGTCAGCCAAACAAAAAGACAAACCAAATTTGCCGCTCCCAGGAGTGGACACGTACAACACATATAAACATATAGTTATACTCCCGACTCTCTACTATCAACATCCGAGGATAGCACCAAAAATCTTCTTCGTCACGCACCACTCACTGATTAAAGCTGATAGTAGTGCTTCGGGGACTGGGGACCTTCTCCCTCGCATCCACCTTCCTCCCTAGATCGTCCTAGTATCGTCCTTCTCACTAACAACCTCCAGGAATTTACACCCCCCCCCAGTCGTTACGGGTTTGGCTAACCCGCACCACACCGCCTCTTAGCCCACAGGCAGCAAAATGTCCTGTCTCAGGTAGTATAGTTATATTGGCAACCTTGGCTTGACTCTGATGACTACAATACTGAGCACAGATTCGTCCTTATCCCGTCTTCTTTCATCACCTGATGTTCTTCCATAACTGTGGTAGACGTTCATTTATTCCCTATTAAAGTACTCTATCCTGTCTGATAACCCCTATAACCCTCCCGACCTTATGATCTCATCTCATTTCATCCTCTCCCCAAGCTTCGACTCGTGGTAATGCGCGCTGTGGACGATCTGTTTGGCTGTTGTCAACTCCACCCGATTTGTGCATCACGAAGGAAGGGATCCCGACCTGGAAATAAAAGGGAAAGCAACAACAACAAGACTGCACATCTCACCCTAACAACCTAAATCACGACGTCCATCACGAAGCTGTCCAGAAACCGAAGTACTTCAGTGCAGCGATGGTACGGCGCTGGAATACCCGGTTTGATAGCGTACCCGCAATTGTTCCCCTTACTTTGTCCAGGCCCTCTCGCTCACTGGTTCCCATACCGACAACCACAATCAACCTTCATTTGTCCCCGGCCACCACCGGAAGGCGTTCGTTGCAATCTGCCGAACCTTCCGCCAGATGCAAAGATCTCGAAGGCTTTTATTCGAACTCCTCACCAAATCAGTCAATTGTTGCTCATTTTGCGTGAACTCGTTTCCCAAGTAACTTTTACACCCGACCCTGCTTCATCTGCAACACTAGCGGGTGGCATAAGCTTCACTACACACTGTAATTCTGCGTTTCCTGCTACCATTTGTCCGTACTACATTTAACCACACTACACCATCACCACACAGCTTTCCGTGGCCATCCGCCACACAGCCCAAGGCCACGAAGCCCTAGTGACGGTTCCGGGCTTTACTTCAAACCGGCCTGCCATGTCGTGGCAGCTCTGCTGTCTCTCCATATCCATTATTCCGGCCCTACACTTCCTGTAGTTTGAAGTTTTGTTTTTGTTACGTTCCAGTCAGGAAGCTCTTTGTTATGCCCTCACTTGCATTGTTTTCTTTGCTCGCCACTTTTAAACCCTAACGTTCAGATCTCGTGCAATCTGATATATTCTCCATAGGACATAAAGAGACCTTGTAATTTTGGATCCGTACCCATGCCACCTCAGATGTGATAAACTTTTTCCCAATAATCACAACCCCCACCAATCACGCCTTTATTCTGACTGTAATACTATGATCATGCCCGACGGTATGCTACCCACTAGTTGGGGATAAATATTATTATTATTAATGTGAATGTAAGAAAAATTTTCATTACTCCCCAAAGCACTTTTCATGGGCGTGCAGTCTTTGAAAATGCTACTTACAGTCTAAGGAAGGGCATTCGAATTTGTGAAGCGTTGTATGTACGCTCCAAGTTGTCTTAGTAATGATTGTAGTGTGAAGGGTGAGGTCAATGCGCAAAGCTGCAAGGCTCGGGGCGCGATTGCAACACCTACTGCGTCATAGCGATAAATCCTTTAATATCAAGAAACGTTTGTGCCACACTGCAGTACGAGCTGACGCGTGAACGGCGCAACCCTCAGTGAGCGTGTTCAGCGAACTGCTTCAAAAATGGTTATGGGGCTCAAATCCGCGGACTACGAAACACATCTCGCGATGTTCGACCTCTGTCCCCTGGAGTATCGTTTCCTCCGGAAGGATCAAACTCTTACTTATACCCCGGTCGAACAAGGTCTGGTTAGCAGTTTTTTCACCGTTCACCCATCGAACACACGGTGAAATAATAAGATTTTCAGGCTCAGAGCGCACACTCTTATCAGGCAAATTTTTCACATTTCGGGTGGTGGCTTTGTGGAATAACCTTTTCCCCTTGGTTGTCCACCCTAAATCTAGAACTCAGTTCGAAGAGCTGTTTGACACCTATTTATGCGAGCCCTCGCGCTCAATATTTTCAAGGGTTCGAGTAGTTTTAAAGATTTAGGACAAGAAGCTTGACATCTTGACCGCCATGTCTCAGGAAACGGGGTGGTGTGCCCTCGCTCTCGGCGTGATGGAGTCCTTAAGCGTTTGAAGAAGACATGATAAATCAGCCAGGGGAATTGTTTATTTGCTAAGAGACGAGCGGGCACTCTTGTGGAGATGCGAAACATGTGAGAGGAAATGTGGGCTTGAGTAATGGAGGAAGGCGTAAGAAGCAGTTATCAAAATTGGCGTTCTGGTGGTCGGCTATTCGGACAGGAGCTGTGGTAGAACTACCGTCGGTGGAACACGGACAAGTGCCTAAGTGACTGGGGGTTCAATCCTCATGGAATGGGCCGCTGGGTTATTTACAGCAAGAAGGACCTCGGAAGTGGTGCTGTCTCTACGGCATTCGAGGGATGCCGGTCAGCTGATAACATACGACGAAGAGAATTACTGAGAAATCCCGAGATTTCCGATATTGGTGAGATTTGTTTTGGATGGATCCAAGATGTAAAACCGACTTGTCACGTGAAACGAGCAGCCGGATGGCGATGTCAACCAAAGACAGTTCGTTTCCTCCCGAAAATATTGCTTGTTTTCTGTGCCGTTATCTCTCTATACAGCCATCTCCCACTGATTCATTTCCCCTACCTGTACATAGTTTGATACACACTTGCTGTTCCTTTCAGAAGTCCCCGCTGCCTCACTGACCATTTTCTGCTCCTGTTGATTGCGCTATTGTCGATTGTACGTTTTGCCTAATTCACGACGTTCATTAACCCGTCTGTTTGTGGAACCAGTTCACGACAGCTCCCAGTACATCATCTGCTGCCCTCGTCCGTCTGTTCCTATCGTTTACTGGATACAAAGCGCGTATAAACCGATGACCGCAATCGCCTTTCCCGGATCTTACACTGGTGTGGTTGCGGGTTTGGCACGTCGAAGACCCCATAGTTATGGCGAACTTAACTAACGCTTATTTGTAGTGCCGGCTTATCTCGCAAATCACCATTGGTTTACCGTTGGTGTGATGAAGTTTAGAACGCGAACCTGATAGTTGATATGTGGAATGACCTGCATTCAACATTAGCCTGATCGCATCCAGGGCCACATTCAAATCAATTTAATTTTTTTATGGGTCATGCTTTACGCCGGCAGGAATTCTGCTCAGCGCTGAGAACATCGCGGATTTTAGGGGCATGGACAACAGGGATCAGAGTTTCCGTCCAAGCTACCAGGGTTGGGTTTGTTCGTGTCATCCAGCTGCTTCTATGTACCTGAAAGACAAGTTTTCAGCTCGGAGACAGGAGGCATCACAGCGCGAACACTTACGTAATAAAGCGTCCATAGGTGCCTGGAGCTGGGGCTTGAATTCAATTTCTCACCTTTCAGAGGCACCGGATCGAGCCATAGACAGCCCGTTGGTCCACAGGCTCGAGTGTTGTTGCATTTAATGAGAGATTCTTCTTTGGATTACGGAGTTTGTATCGGATAGAACGTTCGGAGTGAAATTAGACTTCACCTGCTCTTCTTCGACGCAGGTCTCCTTCAAGGTTCCGTTTCAGACAGTTCTGTTTTTTATCCACGTTAGCGATTTTACAGGTGTTCTTCCAAGTCCATGTTATTTTTTGTAAATGTCCTTAAATCCGGTGCCAGGAAACCTCAAATGGATGTAGGCGCTACAAAGAAGTGGACCTTGGCCTGGTACCTTCCATTGAATGATCAAAATACTGTCCATACGTCAGTCGGAATAGACTCGGCGAACACCTTTGTTGTGCGTTGTCAGAATAGACCGAGAGACATTACGCCTATGCTTTCAGGTTAATCGTATCAACTGAACGACAATAAAAAACCGACCCGGGAAACTTAGTCGAAAACCTCGATCCCATGCATCAATTCGTGAAAAGGGATTAAGTTACTTGGCTCCCCTCAATCCTTTTCCTCCCAATTCATCATGGAAAATCGGTCAAAGGACAGCGGCTGTTCCGCGGCTGATTTAGCATACATTCCCGCGTATTACTTGCACGGACTTTGAGATACTGTAGGGGCTTACGTTAGGCCTGTTCTTCAACACACCGGCTAAGTTGTCTATTCAGGATGCAGGAAAGACGTCATTCTCATTGAGTGGGTCCAAGGTGTTTCTGGTAAAGGCGTGCCAGCCTTAAATCCGCTAACCAAGAAACACGTCTTGTTGTACATGACCTACTTGTCACGTATTATCATCGCCACCAGGAGGCCCAATACTTGCGATCCGTTTGAATAAGACATGGTCAATAGGTTTTCCAGCGGTGATCCAACTAGGACATGGCGGGAACATGGCAAGAATACTTCCAGGAACGCAGCGCATAGGTTTACTGAGCGACAAGTTTCCTACTTTCGGAGAGTCGAAGCTTAGAACGATTCTCCTCTGGTGGTGGCTCACACTGCATCTAGTTATTAATTCAAAGCACATTTTGACAACATTTCACGCGCCCCCACCCCGCTGTCTAGATTATTCCCTCCTACCGACAAGTTAATGAGAAGTGGTTCGTCATTTTTTGCTTGTGCCTTTCATATGACTAAAACCCAATCCCGAAGCTTGGGTGAAAACTTCTATCGTAGGTAATGATATGTGAACCCATAGATTTGTGAAAACCGTCAGAGGAGGGTTACTGCGTTGTTGCCCAATAAAAGTGTGTTCTCTGAGTCTGGAAATCTTCCTAGGTAGCACGGTCACACCCTTTCCTTGTCTCTGCCTCCTGGATGAACGGAATTCGCCAAAGGACAAGAAGCATCGACCGGGAAGCTTAGGAAATACCCTCGATCCTGCGGTTCAGTCAGTTAATCAATGATCCGCCGCATATTACGGTTTCATGCAAAGACCTCCATAGTTCATGGAGACACTTTGTGTGCGGGTCTATGGATAGGCTAAGGTGGGTCATTGAAAAGCAGCCTTACTGGTCCTGCGCATGTTAAGCTACTCCACCAATCAGTGCCAGGCTTCGCACCGCCCTGCTGCCTCTTCATTTAGGTCCTTTGCGGGCAACGTGTCTGTCTTCGTCATGAGTGTGAAGGCCGCGAATGCAGTTCACGCGCACGCAGTCACTCGGGATTATATATCACAGCCTCGCATTAGTGAGTTTCGCGTTCCGTATGCACCTTTCATGTTCTTTTTTATTGCACTGGCTAAATGGCGCATCTTGAAATTTCTACCGATGTTGTACGCGTTGTTTGGGAAGCCCATTTTAGCGAGTGCTGCTGAATAGTCAGGAATTAAGTTCAGAAGAGGTAGACCCTACGCGTTTCATCTGCCATGGATTAACATTCCGCGGTAGACTTTCCCGTGGAGTTTTGTCAGGGATAGTATATACTAAACTGGTTAGACTTCGGTCTTATCTCCCACGGTAAGTTTCAGGGTGTCGAGAGCCCTTGTTACAGCTTATCTCCCAGCGAATCAGCTTTAATAATCGACGGTGATATCTGACTCTTTACCTTTCGCTATTATGCTGGCTGAATCTTCGTTATATGGACTCTTAATTGCGACATTGTGAAAGAAATCCGGACATTCAGCTCATTAGCCATCGTTTCGCAACGGAGCCACAGAGCTGATGTTGAGTTCTTTTTTGAATGTTGTGCTGCCCATACTGGTGGTGAATGTCCCGAATAGCCGGCGTGGATGCGTTGTTTGTAATGACTCGGGGGAATGTTTCAAGTGGTTGTTAGCTGTGTACTTGCTGAGTAATCAGGGATCCTGCTGTTTCTGTTGTAGCTTCTTACAACAATGGGCGCGATCTTTATTCTGATCTGAATGGCAATGGAGCTGACATGGAGTCTCGCTCTTGTTTTCTAGTGCTCAGTGGAATCAATACTAACCCTTCCCTACGTTTCCGAATCAAATAATAAACCAGTTGTTGTTTCTGAGACAACTTTATAGATTTCAAAGGCCGGGTGTACTTGGCCCCCGTGTCAGAAGACGTCACATCCGGGGCCTCGTTTTCACGTCTTGGGAACGACAAGGGTCACCGCTTATGTGACTACGTGACGGCAAATAGGTTCCGGGGCAAGGTTCTGCTTGATTTACTTAGTCCGAAATTAATCGCCCAATCATAATTATAATTACAATAATAATCGTTCAAAAGTAACACTCTTGCGGTGCCTAGCTACCATGACATCCGAAGAAGCACAGGGTTGAGATTATGCTAAGTTGTCCAAACCAAGATCGGAGAAATCGGGATGCAGAGGTTGCGTTCGAATCACGGACCTTCCGTCCCGTAAGTTGGCGCCTTAACAACGGAGCAATCTTGAGCTCAATAGACCAGCTGCTTTAGGTCTCGAGCTTTGTACGTTGGAGTCTTGTTAACGGATTATTTATGACTTTCAACGGGAGCTGGGGAAGCAACTCAATAGTAGGGGGTAGATTTCAGCTACGTGAATCCATCGTGGTAGCCAAGGTCACAATACGTAAGCTATGTCCTGCTTCTGAATGGCCCGAATCCATCTAGAACCCCGAGCGCCACGGATACCTTGAGTGAACTCCGATAAAAGTGTCTCCGCATTCCCCCTTGGCTGCGGACAGGAAACAAATTAGCAAGTTGGTAAAATCATCAATCCACTTTTTCGGGTTACCTAAGTGCACATATGTGATTGCACAATGAACAAATGTGGAATGTTGATGCGTTTGAGACCTGTCGGAGAGCTTCAAAAGTATGCCCTTGAGAGGGTATTGTGAAAAAAACGTTTCCTCGAAACTGCTTCCTCGGTGGAGGCGTTTTTTCTTCAGTAAGCTTCAGAGAAAATACGACACGATGTATTGGGTCGAACAAATGGGAATAGATTAAGGTATAAATGAATGAGCTACTCACTTTTCACAGGCTATCCTGACTAGGGTATGCCGGAGGACCATCTGCCTCCCAAAGAAGTGTGTTGAGTGGGAGTGACCCTGAGGTTGTCAGCCTGTGGTGCCACGACGAAGTATGAAAACACATTAGTGGTTGATGACTCAATGACGCAGTCAATGGCGTGTACATCTCTTTTATCGCCTTGAATGTGTAGCCACCGAGTTCCCTTCCCCCCAGAACAATATATAGTGCGAACTAACTGATGCTATCGCCTTCAACGTCAGACTGTATACTCCCGCTCTGCCATTTCTGCAATCGAGGCTCTGTCAGCTGGAAGCAAAGTAGTACATGATTTATAGCTGGTAGGCTGAACTGAACCATGCCATGTGTTTTTGGCCTGTCGGTCTTGGATGCAGTGAAGTAGAACATGAATTGATGTCGTGAAGTCTCGCTACTCTGCAAAGTCGACACTTCTGTCGAGTAGTCGATCCAGTGTGTTTTGAGAGTATTACCACCTGTTTTACCGACCAACACATCAGGCAGGAACTAACTCAAAATACTGAATACGAATTTATTTTTCGCCCGTTCAGATGATTGTGGGGACAATTACATTCCTAACATGGCACACAGAACAACGATACTTCTAGATACCTCAAATGGATGGGTCTAACTGGAGTGTATCGACCAGTGTGTCAGTCGGTCTTGTCGCCAGATTTATCCCTAGAGATGTCGTCTCACGTGGTTGTGTGCAATAAATAGCCCCGTACTTCCTAGCAAGCCTAGAACGCTTATCGGCTACGAGCGCGCGGTGAATTTTTAACTGAAATTTCGTCAGTCTATGCTGAAAACCCAGAAGCATTATACACCTGTTTCATCCTTAGTGGTATTCATCAGCAAAGAACACCTTACGAAACTCCAAAGAGTCTCGAACTCGTGACCTCCCTGTTAAAAGTTTGAACACCTCACTGTCCGGCCACGAGAGACTGAGCACCGGTTTGATTAACTCGCGCCTGAACAGAATGTGGCGCCACTCATGCTTAACTCACAGAAACCGCCACGTGGTTACCTGTTAACTGTGGTTCACGGCCCGAGGAAGTTCGATACAAAGAACTTGCTTGATAAATATTCGGTGCTATAAACAGCCTTCCAATAGTACTCAAGATTGTACACAGCCTAGCAAACACAGTGCTTGACCTAGTTCGACTGTTTGATGTATTTAACCCGAATGATCAGAACAACCTTGTGGTGTTGTTCTATAATTGTACAACAAATGGTCATAGCTATGTAAACTGTGAAGCTGAAGCTAGTCGGACGTTTTAGGTTCACATCGGAACTACAACTTGCTAACTTATTTGAAATGAGCACACAGAATGTAGAGAAACCGAAAACATGCGTGCAAAAATGGTCATATATGTGCAGCATGAATAGAACGCTTCCTTATTTTGATCTGTACATTACTGCTTACAGCATTTGGATCTGCTAGAACAATTGCTGCGTCTCTTTTTACTGATCCACCCTCACCCAACAATGTATTCTACATTCTTTTGAGTTTTTGTATCAAAATTACTTCTCCATGGGTTGTCTGCATTTCATGTTGGATACAACTGAGTGACATGCCAACCATTGATCCCACAAGCCTAGCTTCTCTGTCTCATAAAGGCCATTCATATTGATGAGTGCTCTTGGACGAACCAAGTGAGAAAAACTCGTTTTCAATAATTGTGTAGCTGTTTTTCCTGAAAACAGGTCCTGTCCTGGCATTTTAATATATCATCAGCCTTTGTGTGTGCAGCATTAAGACGCGTGTCTATCTCTCATTTAGCTGGGTGTTATCTGACTGATTGTCAAATCTTGCGGTTTTGTTCTTTTTTGAAGAAGTCTGCTTAGGTTGTCCCCTTGGGTTCATACTATCGTTGATGCGAGGACAGTGGGTCGGATCTTGGTCTGCGTGCAACTTACGGGCTGAAGGACGACCCGTTTCATGTCTTGTGTAAAAAAAATCAAATACTTCGACTGTAGCACCCTTTCGATGCATAGCTGCCATGTCAAAGGAAAGAGGCACGAGGGCTAGGATACTGCCAGGTTGCCAAAGCCTAGACAGGAGCAGTCGATGTGCTGTGGTTGGGTTTGAACCACGGACCTTCCGATTCGTAAGCTAGCGCCTTATGTCGTTTCCACACTAATTTTGACCCTCACGTTGCGTTTAGCACCACGGCCGATCAGAAGACTTGTCGTTTAAGCTTCACTTGCGTGAATAAGTCTATCTTCGCCACTGCTTATTTGTGTACCATCCAAGAGACGGACATTTGTTGCGCAATGATCCATGATCGGCCGGAACCAGTGCAGATTTTCGCTGATTTACAAAGCAACATAAGCTATAATCACTGTTACGGTGTACTTAGTGGAACACCAGTTGTGGCTGGTATAAGTCTGTTTGATGACTTCGGACGCCCATGATGGATTGCTGATTAACCCATTGAGCCTCCAGCTTACAACATTGGAGCAAACGATGTCAAGCCACGTGTTTCAACAGACATGGTCAAGTTAGTATTTATGACTTAGCGGTCCAGTCACAAGCGTATTCACCGATCCACGTAACCAGTGCATCGAGACATCCAATCCTCTTCCACAAATCCACAATCCTTTATAGGTCAACAGCAGTGCAGCATTGAATATTGCTTATCAGAATGTGTTCCTTCTCCAGCAAGACTGAGTCGTCATCTGTAAGCAACGGTTTACAGTGTAGATCGGCTTATGTGCACTGATGTCCAGTTGCGCTAGTTGACCCAAAACGCAAAGTGGTGTATTGGCAAGTGGATCATGGCCAATGGTCCTAGCGGTGTTGCTAAAACACTTACTGCCTGGACAAGGCGTGTGCGACAGTGAACTTGGTTTGATATACGGCGAGTGACGGTATGATGAGAGATACAACACAAAGCGTGTTTGAGAAAGCCACAGATGGCTAGAAGGTGAGGGCATTGTCACAACAAATGACGGTGAAAGAGGGTGTACTGTTTAAAAAATGTCGAATTCAAATGAAATGAGAACTTTAACGGTACCAGGAGGTGCACTTCGAGCGAAATTTTTGGATGGATGGATTTAGGAATATTTACCGTTACAAATAAGCTGTTGATGAATGACACCGTTTGGTGTACATCACAGCTTTTTGGCACAAATTAGTGCAATTATCCCTTTCCCCCAGAAAAAGGTTTTCAAATAAAGGTATTGCCGCTGTTTCCTGAAGTGTTCGCGTTTGGGTAAAGCGTGTTTATTCCGTTCTCGGATGATGTAGGCTGACCTTATATCAAAGTCTATTTACTACCGTCCTTTTTGTTTCTCAGCCTATAGGACTGTTTCCGGTGTCAATGGTCCCTTGGTCATTTTGGGCGATGTAAAGTTTCCAAAATATGCTGAAATCGTTCGACTTACGCTTGCCGACGGTACGCAGCGTACAGGTCAAGTCTTGGAAGTCAGTGGGAAAAAGGCTGTTGTTCAGGTTTTCGAAGGTACCAGTGGTATTGATGCGAAGAACACGACGTGTGAATTCACTGGAGATATTTTGCGAACACCAGTCTCCGAGGACATGCTGGGTATGTTTGCTTTTTTACACTTTCACTCTTTTATTCAGGTCGTGTTTTTAACGGTTCCGGAAAGCCCAAAGATAAGGGACCTTCTATTCTGGCCGAAGACTACCTAGATATCCAAGGCCAGCCCATCAATCCCTCGTCAAGAATCTACCCAGAAGAAATGATCCAGACAGGCATTTCGAGTATCGACGTGATGAATTCTATTGCCCGCGGTCAAAAGATTCCCATCTTTTCCGCCTCTGGGTTGCCACATGATGAAATAGCTGCACAGATTTGTCGTCAAGCAGGTCTTGTGAAAGTCTCGAACAAGAGTGTGATGGACTCAGATGTAGAAAATTTCGCCATCGTGTTCGCTGCTATGGGCGTAAATATGGAGACAGCCAGGTTTTTCATGCAAGATTTCAAAGAAAACGGTTCAATGGAGAATGTTTGTTTATTTCTTAACTTGGCCAACGATCCTACAATCGAACGTATCATTACCCCACGGATCGCTCTAACTACTGCCGAGTATTTAGCCTATCAATGTGAAAAACACGTATTGGTTATCCTAACTGACATGAGTTCGTATGCAGAGGCGTTACGCGAGGTTTGTTCTGATTCGCATTCAAGTCACCCTCCTTATTTTGCTAAATAGGTTTCAGCAGCGCGTGAGGAGGTTCCTGGTCGACGAGGTTTTCCGGGTTACATGTACACCGATTTAGCTACCATCTACGAGCGAGCCGGTCGCGTGGAGGGTCGAAGTGGATCGATAACGCAAATTCCCATCCTAACTATGCCAAACGATGATATTACTCACCCGATTCCGGACTTGACTGGTTACATCACTGAGGGACAAATCTATGTTGATAGACAACTGCATAACCGTCAGGTGATTCCCCATTATTTTCGTGTTTGTCTACAGTCCTTAGTTATTTTCATATCCCATTGACACCTGTCTTGTCGGTAGCTTTATCAGGACATACGATGTTGGCGTCGCCAGTAGGGTACGATGGCCTATAAGACCGAGATTGGATCTTAACAATTTTATCCCAACCTCAGCTAACAAAGCAGCCTTATCGAATGTCATTTTACAGTTGCGTCGAGACAAATTGGTTGAGCAATTTTCGTATTTAGAGTGGGCCCATCTGCTCTTTGAAGTCCAGAAGAAGGATGGATAAATTCTTATGGTTATTGATCTGCGAATGTAGAGCTGCCATCAGCCGACTTACGGTAACTAGACTTTCCGGTGGCTTAGCGTTTTCCAAGTTGGATATTCGCTGTGCATATTTCCGCATACCACCTACTCCGGATTCTCGGCTTCTTACTGGCTTTCTGACACAAGTTGGCCTTTGTCAATATAAATTGCTCCTGATGGCAGTTGGCAGTGCGCCAGCTCTCTGGCAGTAGTTCCTGTTATTCGTATTGCCAGACTTGTGCTATTGTATTACTTGCACTGATAAAAGTAGAGTATTTAGTGATTCGCCTGAGAAACATATGCAGAACTCGCACTATGTAATGCTCCGACTAAGTGATATAAATCACCGGCTGTTTGTTATCAAATATTTGTCCGAGGCAACAGAAGTAGACGTGTTATTTATATTACATCAGGATACATGTCAAATGCATTTGGTGAACTACAGTTGGATACGTCAAGAACTGTGCTCATATTAGATCGGGGCCAAGCCCCACCTTTTTTCCCATAAACACTGACGAATCTGACTTTTTCGAATGAATAGGTTCCCTGGGGGTACGAAACAAGAAAATGCGTATTCAACAACGCAAACCTTGGTTGCGCCCATACACGCCTTTTCTCTGGTGATAATTATCCGATATTTATTTCAACCAATACCTCAGATGTGGGTTTATCCCAGCTGCATGCTGCTCATTCTCTACTGACTTTGCTCATTCGTGGCAGTACGGGACAAAAGCTGCTATGACGAACTCAGTGGTTCTCACAATTTTTTAATCTCAAGCGGTGAATTAACATGTTCGTAGCAGGCAGTCTGATTGCTGATGCACTTCTTAGATTTCCACTTGCGAACATCGGAGTGAATGGAGATCTGGAGGAAACGCAAATCAACTGATTCAGCCGTAACCCTTAAAAGAATACGGGAGCATGCAAAAGTCAATAGGCCACTAACAAGGTTACGCAACCACAACCAAGACTGGAACGAAAAACCACATTGAACTAGAGTCACATTAGAATTGCTGCCGTTCTGTGCAGTTTATCGCCTTAGACGGTTACATTTTGCGCAGAGAATGTTTTGTGGATCCACAAGCTCTACTTCCAACTGCAATTGAATGTGCTTCTACAGTAAGTGGTGAGATTACTACAGAAATTATGAGTAAGTGGCTTCTCTATTTGTTTGTATTTACGGTCTGTCAGAAGAGGCTATTTCCGATGACGCTCCTCAAGTCCGAAATATCAAGTGCCTTCAGTTCCTATGCAATAACGATTTCAAGCATTCTAGCGCAGTGTCATACGATCCAGCTGCTAATGGTATGATTGACTCCATACAAGCGATCCAGGTCACAGGTTAGGCATGAAAAGATTTATTGATTTCAGCTCTGGAAAGTACCGGAGAGAACCACACCGTGCAGTCACCAAAACGCTATCGGAATCAATGCTTGGAAGGTGGATTTGAACGCAAATCACCACGGCCTTCGTACTCAAAGGAAGTGTTGACCCAATAAAAAATGGACGGATGCAATCGTACGAAACAAAATATGGACGTCCGGATAAAACGTGTATGCCGAGTACGCTGGTTCGTTAAGGGATTTCCCTTGTAGCAGATGACACATTCACCGGGAAGCTATCTTTTGTATGACGATAAGAAGGCGAATGCTAGGTGATTATTTATCACATTCCAAGGTATTACAGAAGGACCATTGCCACAAGAATAAATTTCGACTGTTCTCATATTTAGTCCTGTAGTAACAGTCTATTGAACTCCATCAGATCCGTCCAGTTGCATTGGCTTGTATCAGAAGCACAGTCTGATAACCCAGCTAAAGTGTATACAATCTACTCCACATTTCTAAATAATTGGACTGCATGTCTGAAGCTCAGTAATAAGTTCATTGTTTCTATGACTTCAGATGTTCCAGTGGCAATGTAGTCGAATAAAAGGGATTCTGTTCGAATTAAGGGTAACATGCGATATACATATCCGATCCATCCTCGACGAGCCGGCAAGCATCGGACAGTTTTAGCCAACTAGATGCAATGTTACAATGAAGACAATTGTTAGACTCAATGAATGAACTCTAAGAGAGGGTTTGACACGGTAAAACTAAGATAAAATAACACGGCACGTGCGACATTTCTGCACCACTTGACTAAGTTATAAAACTTGTTCATAGTAACACCTCCTGGTACGGAGACTACCCGCAAAAACTTGTTCCTGGCTGGGGGAGTTGCAATTAGCCTCGTCCGAAGTAACAACCTAGTGGGCCTTAATTAGTTCTTGCAGAACGTTTTTATCCGTCTGCATGTCCAATTACCCTGTCCTTATATGAGCCCACTTGAACTGAGTGGCATTTGTGGACAGAATAAAGACTACACAACCGAGTTGTGATGCTGTGTTAAAAGCGTTACCTGGAGGGGACAGAGCTCGTACTACAGTGTACATAGTTTTTTGCTACGGTACGCATAGGCCTTGGGCCCGCTTTTTCATACGGTTCGTCCACTTTTCATACACATTAGTCACTGCCAGGAGCACGTTGGCTCATTGAAGCTGGTTTACATTCCGCTTTCCATGTCAGATGGTTCCCGTGTTTCCTGATTTCCATGAAAGTGTGGTCCCTGTCGGAGAGTTGTAGGGCCGAAATTCTCCACTCCACTTTGAGGGTTTCTGTGTTCTTCCTAGCAGTTCCATGGCAAAAGTCGCGGAACCCGAGAAGCATGTTCCCTTTAAGGAGTGTTCTTCATTTGGGCGAGATGGCCCATCGGTCAGAGTATGAGTTTACTAACTGGAAGGTCCGTGGTTCGAATCCAACCCCTGCTTCTCAACTTCACCTGTCTAGGCTCGGACGGTTTGGCAGTATCCCGGCCCTCGTGCTTCCTTCTGGTGGCATGGCAGTCAGGCACCGAAAGGGTTCTGCAGCTGGACGATTTTCTCCATTCAGAGCGATTCCTGGGAGCTCGCCCTATCCAAACTAGAGTTTTGCGTATTGTGAAATGCCTTTTGAGGTGTGGAAACTTGAAGTAGTTTGCAATCCTGGATGGACGCACTGTTATACTTGGTCCCGATTTATGAGCTTCACCCATCGAACTATTAGTCTCTTCCGATGTTGGGATTTCTAAAGAAGTAAGCAAAAAGCCAAAGATCCCTTTACTTTTCTTCAAATCCAGCCCTTCTTGGCACGACGTGACAGTATTCTTAACGTGAAGTCCAGAACTTTTATGGTAGTATGTATGGCACTGTCTTTTGGTTGTCTGCTGGATACAAAAGCGGACACTTGTCTTGGATGATGCTTGTGTCCCCGGTATTCTGCATGTCCGTGCACGAATTCACAGCGCTGGAGTGCGACGAGTACGTTTTAATGACGGTGTTTTTTTGGAGAGCTTAGTGGACTGCACTAGCTACTTTGGCTCTGTCTATCGGGAACAATGGGTGTATGTTGTACTGAAAGCTCGGTGGCTCAGAGTATCAGAGACCCATATAGTCAACGGCTTAAATGACTCCCTGGTGTAGCGACCTCACGCAGTCATTTGAACTGTTGCATTCACATCGATGGCGCACTTTTCACTTTTTTCTGCGTTGTTGACTTAATGATATGTCGTTTCATCAACTATCCACAGTCAGGTGCTGTGGCCATCCAGATTACAAAGCTCCTGTACTTAACCCGCAATCAAAGAACGGCAGCTGAAAGTAACTTGTGCATGCATTCATTATAATGTCCGAACAATGATCTACTGCCCCAGTCTGCCGTTCCTAAATACAAGATTGACTTTTTGTCTAATCTTCCACTTATGCATTTAAATGCTCCACTCTGTCTCTGTTGTTTCAGATCTATCCTCCGATCAACGTTCTGCCTTCCTTGTCTCGGTTGATGAAGTCAGCCATTGGCGAAAACATGACTCGTGAGGATCATTCGGATGTGTCTAACCAACTGGTACGTTTTCCTCTAAGAACTTATCTCATGGTGTGTAAGGATAATGGTTGACTATGGTGGTCCACGTTTCTCACACTTCCCACGCTATGCCATCAGGTTTCTCGTCATTATCAATCTATTATGAGCAAGCCGCCGCCGGTACTACGAACGTATGTCAGTATATGATTGCTCTTTCCCAATATTTTCTTTACCTCACACTGAGTAATTTGCCGTGTAAGAATCTCAGGTTATATGTCGGTCAGTTCACTACCTGTTCCCCCCCTCCGAAATGTGCTTGGACTGGACTCTTGGTTTACCAAATAGGATATGGTTCATTGATTACTCATCTACTCAGTTAAAAAGTGTTTTTGATGATGGATAACCTTACTGTATACCGGACGTCAGCTTGAGGGTTTAGGCCTTCTCTGTATCAACGTTGATATGGGTTCTTGAGCTTTGGTGGTTAGCCCTGATTGGAATTGGCGATTTGTCCCGGTATATTATTAAATTTGAAAGTGAATCTAGGAGCCGACTCAAAACTCGCCGAAAGTCAGTGAAATATGTCGTAACTGTTTGCAGGTAATAGGCCTTCTAACTCCATCGCAGCGTGTATATTTGATCACCATATTTCCTATCCTTTTTGAGATCTCCGTGAGTTGGACAAGCATTTCCACTGCGACAGGTAATGAGCTCTAATATGGAATATCGGAAGTAACTGATGTAGTTCTGCCATTTTGGAGCAGGATGGCTTTCATGAATGCTTCTGATGGAGTGTTGCCCCTCCTCCCGGGGACTAAGATTTCTGAATACTTGGACCTGCTCCATGCATAAATGTGCAACGATTTCGTCACCCTGAAATGTCCTGTTCATCTCACTATTTTTTCCCTATGCTCCATTTTCGGTTCCCCATTCTTTATGAAGTCCACTGTTGACATTTTGCATGCCGAATAATGCGAAGCACTTTACACCGTTTGTAATCATTTCTTAGGTTTTAGACCTTGTCCCACAAAATATTACCCATGATATTTCCCAGCGCAGCTGGTAGCTTGACGATGTAACTGTTACATAGATTCAGTCTAAACCGCATCACCTTTCCGTTTTGTTTGTAATCAGAGTTTCGGTCTATCATTCCCAGTATTCTGTCTTTTATCTATAATCGTGCATTCTACACAGGACCATATGTAAGAGTAATTCCATTTTATCAGTTGTATGAGAGGATAGCTGTTTCGTACGCAATGAGTAAATCACGCTCGTTTTTTTTCAAAATGCCCTCTAACTAATAAATGGTCTGTTTAGTCCGTTGGAGAACGTTTGAAACCTATGGAGGAGTAATCATTCTGGAAAAGTTTGGTAAATCTGGCTGTCTGTAAAACTTTTCTGCAAAGAACACTTGATATCCTTCTGCTCTATTCATACCTAGTAATTTCATCCTGACAACTTATGGCGATTGATTTCTTTGATGTTTCCACTCGTTTCAGTACGCTTGCTATGCCATTGGTAAAGATGTCCAGTCTATGAAAGCTGTCGTTGGTGAAGAGGCTCTGAGTCCTGAGGATTTATTGTACCTGGAATTCCTAACAAAGTTTGAGAAAAACTTTATTACTCAAGGTACGTAGTATACTTGTGCCCCGTGTGGTCATAATCTGCTTTCTCTTAGGTGCATATGAGAACCGCAGTGTTTTCGATTCTCTCGACATCGGCTGGGAACTTTTGCGTATTTTCCCTAAAGAGTTGCTCAAGCGCATACCAGAAAAGATCCTTGACAAATACTACCCACGCTAAGTCTCGGTGGATGGATGTTTCTCCTCCCTCTGTCTCTCAACGTTTATTTATCCTCGTCTGTTGTTTACTGCAACGTGATTATCATCTTATGGTTTCGGTATATGCACTGGCCGCCCGCTGATCCCTTTATTCTCATCATTTGTTATCTCTTGCAATTGCCCTCCTCGTAGTTTTCGGACTTCCGATTCATTCCACAACATTTATCTTGGCGTTCCGCATGGACGATGTGCTTCACTGCACGCACGGCACATCGTACGGGATTTCTAGCCTATTTCATATTATCCGGTATTCGATCTTACCAGCCTTGGACCACTGAATGCATAATATGACTTTGATCGATTTCGTTCTTGTATTTTTACCACCGTCGGGCTGTCGCTCACTTCCGGTTAATTTTTACTGTATTGTATCCCTTTTTGAAATAGGTTCCACCGGCAGAAACACTATAACTGATTACGTAAAGAAAATTAGGGCAGTGATGCTAACAAAAGTCGTATGGAGTTAAAGGTGAAATGGATCAGTGTAGTGCACCCACCCGTGGTGTTTTCAAATTACTCAACAAGCGCACCTTTGGGTGTTGATGAACTAATTGCTATGATTTCGAGTTTGTTCCATCTTTACTTCACATTAACTGGTTGTGATCCTTAAAAGGATAGTATTTATAAGGTCGATACTTTGACAAACCCTACGGGTTTTGTTCCCTTGTGGCTGATAACTAAGTATCTGATAACTAAGCATCAAATTGCACTACACCTAAATCATGGGCTTTAGAAGGGTAAAACTGATAGGCATTTGTTGCAGACTTTTCTTCAACCGTATGACCGTATCATATCAATAAAAGTATCTGAATATTTCGAATCCCCATTCCAACTGAAATATGAGGTTACCCTTGTGAGGCACATTCGGTTGAATACTATCCTAAACATAGCATCCATCTGAGTCCTTCGTTAACACCATCCTAGGTTTGTGTAGACTGCACAAATTTGAAGCCTGCTGTGGAGCAAACAGGCAAACTTTGTCCTCTTCTGACGCTTTGTGTAGTAACTTCTAACCGGAAGGTGCGAGGTTGAATCTCGTCAGTCATTGGGTTTCTTAGGTTTTAGGACAACCCACACGTGAAACTCCCCTGCCGCATTTTCTGCTGTTCGTCACTGACGTGTTCCTCATTTTCTAGATCACTCAGTGTTCGTCCTCCGAGCACATAGACAGATGCACCAACTGCTACCCGTGCTTCTTATTAGCATTTTGACGCAATTCCTGTAGGAGGGTTAGTAAAAGTTTATAAGTATCTTTTAAGTCTGTTTTCGACAAAACAGTCTTTCAGGAAGGAGGCCGGTAGCAGTCCGTGCCCTCGATACGGGAATCCTGGGCTTCTAATGCAATCATAAAAGATGGTTATTTGTATTGCAGTTCGTTACACGATGACCTTTTTATTCGAAGCACATCCTCAGGCTGAAGAATTCCATTTCACCTCAGCGACCATTCAAACAGTAGACATATCGTCCTTTACCCGTCATGTTTGAATCCCTTTCGAGATGGCATTCCGGATCTGACAGGTGATGTACTGAATTCATGTTGACGATTATAAACGTCTGCATTCTTTACTAATGAGCAAGTTAACCGCTCCTGTGTCAAGTTAGTAGAATGGAGTTTCCGGAAAGATCACAATAAAACTTATAGTTCATACGGCACCTTTTTGAAGGTGTTTGTTGGTGTGCACTGTTAGTCGTTTATAGTTGACTGCTGAAAAATGACAAGTTTCCTTTCATTCGTGTGGCTACGTGGTTGATGTTGTGACCTGACACGATTTATTTACAGGCACTATAAAATCTGATTGTCGCTTGTGTATTGTGACGACCGCAGAAGGGGGATCTGCTTTGCCTACAGTCTTATTGTGTGATGCAGACCCAGAGACAGCTGAAATTACTGTTCGAACCCGAACCAGGCGTCTCAAAAGCTCCTGTCTGGGACCGGGAAACCTGGCAGTATCCCAACTCTCGTGATTCCTTCGAGTGGCATGAAAGAGACGTACCGAAAGGGTGTCACAATTGAACGCTTAGTATTACTATTTCATTGTCGCACAATGCACCATTATTAGAGGTCGCAATATCAGCGTTGACACTGATGCTTTACTGCCGTACAACCATAAAGTTTATCATATTTTAAGCCTCATAGTAAAAAGAAGAAGGCGTAGAAAGGGTTACGGGGACCCCCCTCTGGGAGGTCGATTGCACCGGCAACAACCATACTCTTTTTGTCTCTTTCACACCCTATGACCAAGTTGTACGTTGTCCATCCCACTGTTTGCGCCATTCTGAAGGAGGCACGCAGAACAACACTCGTCTCAACAGACGGTGTTTCGGCATGTGTTGCTGGGTCATCACAGTTGATGGTGCTGGATTTTTCCACTACTGAAATATCCACCGCACGACCAGATACCCGTTTTCTAATCACCTCTCTACGAATTCGTTGATTCCACCCAACACCAGCAACGCTTTTGAGGTACCGCTGGTAAAGAACCTGAGGATGCCTCACATCACCTATCCGCGGAGGCCATGCTTCGCGACCATACAACAATACAGCCCTTACTGTAGCCCGGCCCATGCAACCCTTAAGACCCAGTGATGTACCGTTTTGAGACAATAAGTAACACAAGTTAGCAAACGTGATTCGAGCCTTAGAGATTCGTGCACTAAATCAGACACTCGTCAGGGTTGCCACGAATACGACGTATGTACAATCCTCCAGTGATTCACTTTGGATCGCCAGTGTTACGTTCAAAGACTGCTCGTTCTGAAGTATAAGTGCAAGGCGCATTTCAAAGATGGTACGATGGTGGTAAGTTTACTCAACAGGCTTGTGCCTCACCTTCGACTTCGAAGATGAGTACCATATTGTTTGGGTACTGCAGGTTGACAGCGTTGTCGCGATCAGTAACTTGATGCTCACCAGGAAAGTTTTCGAACGCTGCCGTAAGACAACTAAGGATCAAGAACGCCGGGGGCTTTGTTACAACGTGAGTGAAATTGCCACTGTGGTTACCGTATTCACTACGAGTACTATTATCGACTCACCGCGGTAATCTGAGACGGTATCTTTCTTCCAGACAAACCCAAGTAAGCTAGACGGACGCTGGCTCAGGAATTCACCGCCATCCATGAACAGAGCAGGTTGAAGGTCGTCAGGACCAGAAGCACGGTGACGCCTGAGTAGAGACATGCACTCAGACAATTCTGAGGCCGAAGGGGGCTCCATATCCACAGCCCACCTTTCTGTTGAAGGTCGCCATTTTGGACTGGAGATATCCAGTGGTCAACCAATCAACTCTTTAAAGTACTGTACCCGACAGTCCAAATGTCCTTTGCTGGATATCAGAGTCGTGTGGTCGATGATAGGTTCACTAACAAGAGGCTTCGAAGAACCGGTCGTGTGAATCAAATGGGACAGCCTGTGGGCCTTTCCAGAATTTTTTGCTTCCCCCATTTCTTCGGCCTTCGGGTCCGCCAGGCTTCTCGGGCTGCACGGACACTCAGTTTCACCTGCTATCGGATGATTTATCGACCTGGAAATATCTGTCACCGGGCCTCCAACGAAGCCACGGTTCTGTCAGAGATCCAGGTTTTTGGATTAGGTTGCCTGTGTCGTACTGAAGAGAGAAAAGTCTCGGCTATGTGTGGTACTTTGGATATCTGTTCCTATTGTCCGTTATTATCCGAAGTCGGACCATCCGGTATCATTTGAGGAACCGGTTTTTGTGGGTTCGTTTGATTTCTGGGCCCATCGGCTTCCCAGTAGCTAAGCGAGATGTGTGTATTTTGTGTAAACCTGAAAAACAACAGCGGACAAGTGCGTGGTCGGATTCCACGCTAGTACTCCATTGTTAGCTGCAGGAACTGATCAACCGTCGCTACCGGTAGCTGACGGCACACATCTGAAGCAAACGCTCTGCGTTGTTCACGCTTCTGGGATGCAACCCAACACGACCACCCAATCGGGCCTCATCATCATCATCGACAGCATAACATCAGTGTTCAACACCGATGCTTCACTGCCGTACAACCATGATTTGTTTGAAAGCCTTATTGTAGAGAAAATAATAAAGGTGCTAGCTTATCACGATCATTCCGATGTGCCTGCATCTCCAGACGCTCGAAACTACAATGATATCTGAGCTTTTAGCTCGTTGTAGAAGAGTGTCACAGAGCGTCATGGAAACTGTCTCTGACAGATTCAGAGCTACAGTCCGTTGGAGCGTAAGCAGGGAGTGATCCATCACTTCCTCGAGATGTTGCTACAGTCGTTGCTACGCAAAATATCCAGTGACGGCAATTGACGGCTATCCAGTCAAGTAGAGTCGCTTCTGTTCGATCGCTCAATACAATACCTACGCCGGCATATCCAGCTGCAGCGACTTCCACGTCACCAAAGGTGCGCAGCCGGAACCTGGAAGACAGCGAGGGAACAGTCAGTTCGATTTCAGTACTTGCCTGCTATATCATAGTTTCCGACAGACAGCATACATAATGCAACGGCGTTTACTTTCCGCAAGTGATGTAACTCTCAGTGTGCCGCATAAGAAACTACAAACCTTATCATTCACGCGAAAAATTTATCTTCGGCAACCAAATTATCCACCCAAGAACATTATAAGGATTACGCGCGTTTTCAGCATGATTGCTTTTAGTTGGTGAGATGGGGTGATTCTTGGGTAATGGGTCCTGGGTGCTATTGTAGCTTACCGAAATCATGGGGCAAAAACTCGCGCATGTTAATGCGTATCGCACCGACTTGCCGCGGTCCAGGTGGAAGTGGAGGGATAATACAGTGATTGTCGTTGACTTGAAAGTTGTTGCAAGTCAGTCACACGTTTATGAAAACAACTGCAGCCCAGAAAAACAGGATTACAAAACATTACATCGTCTGGTCAGATAACTGGCCAGGTGGTGCACACTGATCAGCAGAGTGGTACTGGATATGCAGCTGGCTTACCGGTAGTGAAAAGT